CCCACCCCCGCCCCCTGGGCCGCGTCCTGGCCGTCCCCGCTCTCCGGGCCAGACCGAGGACGAGAGGGACGTGAACGAGGCGCCGCCGGGAAGGGGCCGAGCCGGGGCCTCGGGGCCCGCAGTGCGTCCTCACTTCCGCTCTGCAAAGCGGGGGCGGCGGCGGCTCCTCGAATCCTCATCCGTGACCCCGGGACCCTGCCCTGGCCCGCGGCGGGCGTCGCTACGCACTGAGGGGCGAGCCTTTGCCCACGGAAGGTAACACCACGCCCGGTGACTCCCTTTCGGCCCCCACCTGTCCGCGGGCCCCTCGTCTCTGTGGAGCACAGGGGGAAGGGAGCACGTGTCCGGTCACGGGTGTCCGTACACACACGGCATGTGCGTGTCATGTTCGTGACTGTGTGTATATACGGTCGCCCCCCTTACCCGCGGGGGATGTGCCCCAGGAGCCCAGACGCCGAAGCCCACGGAAGCTTGGGTGAACAGGCGTCGCGTGTGCGGGGGGGCCGCACCGGCACCGCGCTCCGAGCGTGGCAAGTCCCAGGTGTGCTTTCTGGAACTCACGGAGGCTGCTCTTTCGGCAGTATTTTCAGTCCGTGATTGGGTGAAGCTGTGGGTGCGAACCCTGCAGACACAGCGCCGGCTGCACGTGTGAGTATCTGCGTGTATGTGCCTGCGTGTGTCGCACACACACAGCCAGGGGACTCGAACCCGCGGCCCTCGCCTGCCCCCAGGAGGTGCCGTGCGATGGGCGTCCAGAGAGGTGGGGCGCCGAGGCCTGTGTGGGCTGCATGTCCCCAGAATCCATCCGGGTCTCCCTTCCAGTAAAAGGGCCCCCGGCGGGAGCCAGGCACCAGGCGGCGGCCGTTCCCAGGGCCCTGCAGCCAACAGGGGAGGCTCGGCCTCCGGGGCGCCGCTGAGCAGCCGGGGGACACCGACGGTCCCTCTGGCGTTTCCGGGCCCGCGGCCCACAGGCTCCAGTGCCCGCCCCGCCCTGCTCCTCCGTCTCTCACGCCCCACACTGGCAACACAGTCGCTCAGCGCGGCCGGGCGGGGGCAGTGCGTGGCTGACCGATCACTCTCTGAGCCCCGATCTATATATCGACACGCGGGCCTCGGCCGTGCGTCCGCCCAGTTACACATCAACACATGGAACATTTTAATTGCGCATATTGATCACGTCTGTTCTTTGAGGAGCATCAAGATGAACTGGGAACTATTTTCAAAGCCTGCATGGATTTCACAGTGTCTCAGGCGTCGGCAGGGAACAGACCGCCGGCTGCGCGGGGCACGGCCTCTGGCAGGGCAGCGGCGGCCTCTCAGCGCCCGGCGCACCCCCCACCGCCTCCCGCGCGGGGTCCCCAGGGCTCCCCGCTCAGGGCACCAGCAGGGCCCGTCCGCCCCCCGAGAAGGCGCTGGGGTGGGGGGTGACGGGCTTGTGTGGGGGCTGGGGAATCTTTCCTGCCCCCGTGCAAGTTAGGGACGTCCACCCACATTGCCGCGGGGACTGTCCCTCCATCCACCTGCTGGAAAGGCCCAGAATCTCCGCTGTCACGGGGTCTGTCTCTCTGTGGGGTGTAACACGTACTCCCTGTGCTAAGGCTGAAAAACTGATGTATTTTGGTTGAAGGCATAAAATCCAACTACGTGGCTGGCTGGAGACCGCGACCTTGAGCCATACCGCCTTCCGCAGACCCCCGGGCCGGCGTGGCCAAGGGCTGGGAGGGGGGCGGGCGAGGCCCCGCCCAAGAGGAGGCCACCTGAGTCCCCTAAGATCCTCCACGCCCAACGCAAGAGGGCGGCTGTCGCTGACCACCGACGTCCTTGCTGGAAGGTCACGGGGGCGTGAAGGGGGCGAGGCGGGTTCACAGGGGCCGCGTCCCGGGCAGCCCGCACCCGGCCAGTCCCTGTTGCCGGCAGCTGCCCTCAGCCTGCTGGTAAGTTGACCTGTCCGACCTTCTGGCCAGCGGCCACTGACATGGGTTTCAGCGCGTCCCCCGAGTTCCTACGGTGAAGCCCTGACCCTCGGAACGGGCTGCAGCCGCCTCTGGAAATGGGGAAACGAGACGCGGCTCGTTGGGGTGAGGGGCCCGATCCGACGCCTGTGTTCACGTGCGGGGTTGAGCGCAGACTCACACGCGCCGTGGGGACACGGCTGTGAAGGCAGAAGTCGGGGCGACGGGTCGCCAGGCCCTGGAGCCCGGCGCCCGCGGCAGGGTTGGGGACACGGGGCAGAAAGTAAGTTTCTGCGGCTCAGGCCCTCCCCCAACCCCCACACCACGTAGGGCCCTGCTCTGTTGCCTGGGAAGGGACCGCAGGGGTCAAGGGTCGCCGGGGTCCGGGACAGCTGCCTGGCTGGAGGGCCCCGCGCGGCAGAAAGGAGGAGACGGGCCGGTGGGTGAGAAAACAAGCGGCGCCGCCAGCTTTATTCACAGCCGGGACGCCGTCGCGGGGCAGGCCGCAGCCCCTCGCGCTGCGACCTCTGGGCAGGGACACCCTGTTTTCCCAGGCGACACACACGCCGCTGCCCTGAGAACGCACGGCTCCCTCCGTCTGCGTCTGGCTCCCAGCCTTTGGGGGACACGTGACCGGGGAGAACCGCTTCCCCGTGTGGGGGAGGGGCCCTTGGCGCTCGGGGCCAGGAGGGCAGTCCGGGCGAGGCGGTGCCGGGCCGCACTGGTGACCGCGTCCTGCCAGCGCGTCCAGTCAGGGACGGCGGGGCACGCGCCCCTGAGCCAGAGCGGCGTGCGCTCCGAGGGCCGCTTGGGGGGCAGGGCCCGCGCACGAACGCCGGCCCCGCCGCTGTCCGGGGACCGGCTGTCGTCCCTCAGGGAGCCTGCGGCACCGCCCGCACGCAGGAGGGGCTCAGGGGTCGCCGCTCGGACAGGCGTGGCGCCGCTCACGCCCATTCGAGGACTTCACGCGCCTGCTGCTTTTCTCCGTGGGATCGCCTTGGGCCGCACCGACGGCAGGACCCTCGAGACCCACCTCTGAACCCAGCGCAGTGTCGCCGTGGGTGCGCACAGGCTGCAGGAAGTCGGGACCCGAGCGTGCGGGCGACCCAGCAAGGGGCAGAGCAAGCTGTGGCGTGGCGGCCGCTAGGCGGCCAGGGACGCTCCTGCCGCGCGTGGGGCACCCGCAAGCCCTGCAGGTCTGGGGGCGGAGACGCAGGAACCCGGCGCGCCCCGGCCCCATCGCCCACTGCGGAGCCGGCACATGCGGTGCCGTGGGACGGCACCGGGGCCCCCAGATCTGGGTTCCGCGGCTCCCAGGCCGCGGCGTGGGACGGCCGCCTGTGACTGACACCGGCCCCTCGGAGGGCTGGCACGGGGGGGACAGAGGGCAGCCACAGACACGCTGGCGGCAGGCTTCGTATTTACAGTCGGAGGCTTATAAATATATATTACACCCTCCGGCCTGCGCCGCAGCCTGCTCTCAGATGGCGGGGGGCGGGGGGCCAGTGGCCACGGCAGGAACAGAGCAGCACAAGGGTCAGACCAAGACAAGGTGGGGAGGGGGGCGAGTGTCACCAAAAGAGGTGACAGTCAGTCACCCAAGCAGAGGAGGTAAGTCAGCGTGGGGCCACCCGCGCCCTCCAGGGAGAACTCGGTGGCGGCAGAGAGCCGGGGAGAGAGGGGCGGTGGGGGACACACGCAGACTCGGGGGACTCGGGGGCACCACGGAGGAAGGGACGGAGGCAGGGGCCAGAGGAGCAGAAACAGACAGAAGGGGCTCGGGGAGACGGCGGGGCGGGGGCCGGGAGCCGAGGGATGTGCAGCAGGGCTCCCCTCCAACGCATCCCCCGGCTGTGCAAGGGCTCGCCGGTCTCTGCCTGAGCGTGAGCGGCCAAGTCTGCATGTTGGCAGGCTTCGCCCCTGGGGGCGTTGGAGGGACCCGGGACCGGCCGGAACCAAGTGCCCACAGAGCCCGCTGGCGTCAGGGTGCCTCCCGCTCTCCTGAGGCCGCAGCCCTTGCGCCCCGCCCCGCGTCACTGGGACAGGCGTCCCGCCGACCCCCCGGGACACCAGAGTCTCAGCGCCCCTCGCCCTGCGCTGCCCCGCGGGGGCCCGCGGCAGCCTCAGCCCGGAGACCCGGCGCCCGCGCAGACGGCGTGGAGCCGCCCCGCTCCCTGGAGACACGGGATGGGGCAGTCAGGCCGGCCTCCTCGGGACAACGCCTGCCCCGCGGGGCTTCTCCGTGGCCGGCACCTGGGAGCACAGAGCAGTGCAGGGAGGGGGCGCCACAAAGGCGGGAACCGCCCCCACTGCCCCCAGGCCCCTGGAGAGGCGGCGGCCGCGCGGAGAGCAAGGGCGCGGGCGAGCCTGCTGGGAAGCGACGCTCGGCCCCGCGGGCCTGGCTGTGGTCCGAGGCCCGTCTCCGGGTTCCACGGGGCGGGGGCCGGATGCGCCGAGCTGCCCAGAGGGTTGTCTGTCTGCGCCCCGGGCACCCGGTCACGAAGGCGCCGTGGCCGGACTGCCCCGGTGGGTGACGGCCAGCTCTGGTGACAACCAGCCGCCGGCACCGGGCCAGGCTCTGGGAGATGACAACGCCCATCACGCCCCCAGAGCGGACGGCGCCCCGCGTGGCCCCTCCCAGTGCTCCCAGCAGGTTGGGCCACCCCGGGGCCAGCGCGAGCGTCCCGCCGCCCATCTCCGCCTGACGGGCTGTCTTCTCCCTCATCTCAGTGCTGAAAGGCGGGGCCTCCCAGCGCCCGTCGCTCCAACCAGAGGGACAGGGACAGTCCTTTCCTGGGCGCTCTCAGCAGCTCAGGGGCTCAGATCCTGGTTTTCTTCCAAGTCTCAACCACCTCGCCGCGCATCACGAACGCCTCACCGCTGCCACCGGTCGGGAGCACGTGCGCGGTGCCCGGGCCGCCCCGGGGGAGCCAGGCCACTTTCTGGGGCCGCTGGCCGCACCCTGTCCTGTTGTCCGCCGTCCCCGGGGCACCGCGCCACCTGTGCCAGGTGAAGGTGGCAAGGCGAGCGAGCGCCGTGCCTGCCGGCCTACACGCCGTCCCGGGGCCGGGCCAGGGGGCCCGGCAGGCCCTGCAGGTCGCCGGGGGGCAGGCCCGCGCTGCCCGTGCCCGCGGCGTGCACAGCGGGGCCCCTGTCCTCTGGGGGGCTGGTGGCGAAGGTGGTGAACGTCACCCTTTTCCTCTTGGAGGTGGGGGACGTGGGGGGCTCGCTCCCAGGCTGGTCCCCGCCTGCGCCCGCGGGGCCCGTGGGGTCGAACTCCCGCCCATTGATGCCGCCCTGGGGGCGGGGGCTCAGCAGGCACTTGCCCTCTTCCAAGCCCAGGCCCCTGTCGGCGGCGGCGCCCTGCTCGTCCGGGGAGGATGCGAAGTCCGCGTGGCCCTCCAGCAGCTCTGTCCGGGCGCTCAGGCCCACCCAGTCGTGGGAGTGACTCAGGCCCTCCTGCTCCGGGAAGGGCTCCCGCTTGCGCCGGTACTTCAAGGCGAAGGCCACGCAGTTGGAGAGGAAGACCAGGATGGCCAGGCAGAAGACGCCCAGCAGCGCGTACATGCCGATCTCCAGGTCGCTCAGGCCCCTGGAGGCCTGAGGGAGGGCGCTCTCGTCCCCGTCCCCGCTGCTGCTTCCGGGGAGGCTTGCCTGGGCAGGGACGCGGGTGCGGCTGGGGGGGACGGGCAGCCGGCCGCCGCCGTCACCCGAGGGCCCCCCCTGCCCGGGCCTCCTCGGGAAGCTGGACCTCTCCGTCGTGGCCAGCCCTCCGCCCATGGCGCCCGCAGACGGGCCGCTGGGCGATGGGCCCCCCTCCTGCGCCGGCCGGCGGGGCTGCCCTTCGCTGCCTGGGCCGGCCCCTGCCCCGGGGCGCCCGCCGTCGCCGGCGGTGGGGCTGGCGTCGCTCTGGCTGAACCTCACCCTGATGGGGGCGGTCCCCGCCGCGAGCACGCTCTTCCGCTTGGACTTCTGGCAGGACTCGCTGATGAGCATGTCCACCTTCACCAGCGTGCCCTGCCCTTCGGACTCAGCGGCGATGACAGGCCACCTGAAGCTGGGGTCTTGGCGGATGGAGACCACCTTCTCGTCCAAGGACGTGGCCATCAAGGAGAAGTCCTTCCCGTCGTAAACGTCCAAGGGGGTGACAGAGCCGTCACTGAACTGGACCCAGCAGCTGATGGCCGCCTCCTGTCGAGTGAAACAAGCTCGTCAGACTGGGCCCCGAGCCCGGTGGACTCCGGGTCTTGGAGCGCAGGCCGCGGGGAAACAGCACGCGGAGGGCGGGGAAGCTCTTCAGCCGCGCGGACACGGGCGCCGAGCGGCACGGAGGGCGTGAGAGAGAAGCGACCCTCATGAAGACGCGACACCGGGAGAAAGCAGCGACCCAGAAACAGCCCGGGGGCGCGCAGGGCGGGCCAGGAGCCCCCAGACGCGAGCCGCTCCCTGTGAGGCGCTGAAGGGAGGGGTCCGGGCTCTGTCTGCACAGCGACGCCCTCCACGTCCGAGGGTGCGGCGGCCAGTGGGCCCTGCCCGTGCCGCACGCTCCTGCGAGGAGCCGTTCTGTGTTATGATTAAGCTGCCACGATGCCGTGTCTGCTCGTCCGCCGCCACACGGGGCCGGGCCCCCGACCTTGACCAGGCCCCGGGGGCACGGGGAAGCTCCTGGCTCTGTGGGGACGGGGGGTTCTCCCGCCTGGGTTTGGAGGTGACGACTGAACCCCACCGGCGAGGGGCCCTGCGCTGCACTCCCTGTGGACCGGCCCCCAGCCCGCGGGAAACAGGGAGCCCCACCGCGTGCGCGCCCTCGCCTGAACGGCGGCCCACCCCGCGCCGCCCCGAGCCCCCGTGCCTGCTCGGGCCTTTGCAGGAGCTCCTGGGCCGCCGCGGTGGCGAAGATGGCTCTGTTGCTCCCGGGGCTGAGCTGCAAGGAGAGTGTCAGCCCTGTCACCAGCTGGACCCCGAGGTCGGTGATGGTCACCTTCTCGTCCAGCACAGTGATGGTCTTTTCAGCCAGGATGGCGTCCGACAGCGGCGACAGGACCTGAAACAGGACGGACGTGGCAAAGAAAAGCCGGCCCCGGCCGTCACCCCTGTAGCGTCACGGCGCCCCCACGCTGGGGGACAGAGCCGGGGCCAAGAGGCGGGTCTCCCTGGGGTCTGCTTCCGAAAGCGGTATCTCGCCTGCGGAAACTCACTGCGCTTGTTAAACAACTGCAGGGCGGGGGGCGGGGGGCGGGGGGCGGGCCCGCCCTGCTCAGCACGGCCCTCGGTGCGGGCGCCGGGGCGCCCCCTGCCGTGGGCGCTGGCCAACCGGGCCGCTCTCTGCCGGCGCCTGGCGAGTTTGTTTAGACTCACCCGCTTCACTTAAACGCTCTGTTCAAAACATCAGAGCGCCCAGGAGGAACGGCCGTACGTGGTCAGACACCGGGCCTGTCTGTCTCGCAGCAGGTGGCCGGTGAGGCGCCCACGGGGGAGACCCGGGTCCATGCGCCACCGCAGCGCGTCACGGGAGTCTGCATTCCACACGCTGGGGCACACTGAGTTGTGACGCTCCACCTGTGCCCTCACGGGGGCCCCTGGGCCAGACCCCAATCCTCCTGCCGTGGACGGCACGTCCACCTGGAGGCGGAGCTCACGGGCAGGCTGGGCCCCGAGGAGGAGGCCCTGCGTCTCCCCTGCCCGCCCGCCCTCCCCAGTTAGGAAGACCTGCCCCCCAACCTTCTGACGAGAGGGGCCCCATCTCCCTTTTGCCCGCCTTTGGGGCCTACCCCCCTTCCTGAGAAGCTGGTGACACGTATGAGGCTGGCTGTCAGGGTGGCCTGTTTGGTGGCCCGGCAGGCAAAGCTCCGGGTCCTCCGCAGGTGCCACCCAAGCCGGGGTTCCCAGTCTGGCCGCCACACTGGGACGGCAGGAGCGCATGATGTGAGTCCCCAGAAAATGGCGGAAACATGCACGCGCAGCCCAGGAGGGTTTCGTGTGGACAAGTAAAAGGGAAGAACTAGAAGGCTCGGGAACAGACAACCCGCCGGGACGGGCCCATGTCTCTGTGTGGGAGGCCAGGCCCGCCCCCCGTAACACCCGCCGTGAGCACGCTGTCCCCGGCACTGAACTGTCACGTAGAGCGATGGGCGGAGGCCAGGCGTGCGCCTCGGTCTCTCGGCCCCGGGCACTGGCCGCACTTCGGCCTGCACAGCTGGCTGGAATCCAGCCGATCATGTCTCAGCCGGACGTGGGCCCGAGCTCCTGTCTGTGGGCCAGATGCGCTTCCTCGGCCACTAGTGACCCTTGACAGGACACTCACGGCCGCCCTTTGAAAATGAGAAGCGCGCGTCTCTGCTCCAGGGGGCATCGTACCTGGAGGGTGGTCATCCCGAGCTCCTGGCCGACCAGCACCTGCCCCTCGTGCAGCCGGGCGATCCGCGGCTCCTCCACCTGCATGAAGTCCTTCACCAGCTCTGTGATGTCCACCTGCCAGTCGGAGCCCAGCAGGTGGGCCAGCGGGCCTCCCGGCTCGGCCGATTCGGCCACAAACTGCGCCAGGACGCGCACCATGGCGTGCTGGTACTGCAGGGCGCAGCCCCGGCTCCGCCGCGCCTCCTCCTCCTCCTCCTCGCTGTCCTGCGCTGGCCTGGCAGAGGGTCAGGTCCGGTTAGCAGGTGCCCACTCCTTGGGCCAGTGGTCGGGGCGGGGCTGCTGCGGGCTCTGGGGGCGGCCATGCTCCGTGGGGGGGGGGGGGGAGGGCAGTGAACACTGAACTGCCCCTCAGCCAAGGTCCACAGGGTCCTCCAGGAGCCCCACCGCCGCCAGGCTGCTCCACCGCGGAACCCCCCTCCTTGATGGGGCTGGGCCTCGTGGCTTCCTTCCCGCACAAGCTCCAAGCGGCAGCAGCGGGCTGGGGCTGCCGAGAGAAGGGGCAGCAGGCCGAGCCGCCTCTCGCTTGCTGAAGAGGCAGGTGCTGTGCCGGGCGCAACCCCGCAGGCAGACCCGTGAGACGGGAACCTGCGCGTGGCCGTGGCCGCGGCCGCTGTGGGACCGGGGCCCAAATTCAACCAGCAGGAGGGCTGAGGCCTGCCGACGGCCACAGGCGACCCTGCCCCCGGCCAGAGCCGACAGTGCGCCGGCCACCCACCAGGGCCCCCGCCAGGCCCGGCCCGGTGCCGACGCAGAGGACCCCAAGCGTCGGGGCGAGTCCTTGGGTGGTGGAGCAACAGGTTGCGAGGGTAACGGGCCCAGGCAGGGCCCGTGTGGGCCTGGGTGCCAGGGCCGGAGGGGCGAGCCGGGGTGGCGAATGTGGAAGGGGCCGGAGGCTCGGGGCAGCGGCTGGGCACCCCTAGGCGTCCGGCAGGGCTGCCGTGGGGGCCTCGGGGGCGCCAGGCACTGCACCCGCGCCGGTGGCTGAGGAAGGGGCCTTTGCTCCAGCATCACAGGGGGCCCACACCTCTGTCCTTGAGGCCACCCTTGCCCACAGTCACAAGGGCGGACGTCCAAGAGAAGGACCTCAGGTAAGCCCCAACTCTCTACCCGCTGCTGCACAGGGGGACCCCATGCCGTTTCCTTCCCCAGCTCTGCACAGGCTCGCCCTGTGAGTCCTGAAGCCCGGGCGCCTCTGGGGCGGGTCTCAGAGCCTTGCTGCTCTGCCCGGGGTGCCCGCCGGGCGGCCAGTGTGGGTGGCGGGGCCTTGGCCCCCTGTCAGCCACAGCCAGAGCGGTGCCCGGTGACGCGCAGACGGCCTGGTGAGCAGGCAGAGCGAGCTCGGGCCCCTGGGCCAGGCGGGCAGGCCGCCTCCCCACAGCCGGTCCTCCCTCCCCCAGGACGTGGGACAGTCCGTGGCGGCAGGCGGGGCCGGCTGCTGCAACCTGCTCCCCGGCTCCCGCCAGGGCACCCCGTGTTCTGCCTGTCCCTCGGCCACAGTGCTCGGGCCAGGGACGAGCACACAGTGAAGGCGAGGCGTCATTCTGGGCTTCTGTGGGACGACCAGGACGGAGGCCTGGAGCCTCACCGGCGGGGTGGGGCCGTGGGAGCCAGGAGCTGGGGACACCGGGCCTGGCTGCGGCGCCGCCTGGGGTTCTGACGGGCCCTGGCCGACACACCCACCTGTTGCTGGGGGCGACGGGCACCCTCCAGCCCTTGATCTGATTGAGCTCGGCGTCCGAGACCTCGATGTGCAGCGGCAGCCGGGGCGCCCACACGGTCATCCGCAGGGCACCGCCGAGGTGCTGGTAGGCGAAGTCCACTGCCACGTCCACCTTGCCCTTCATCTCCTTCCCGTCGACGAAGACGGCGTCGCAGCGGTCGGACACCTGCAGAGAGATGGGCGTCCTCGTGTCCCGAGCTCAGGAACAGCGGGGGGCGGAGGGGCCGTGGCCTGGCCGCGGCGGGCTCTCCCGGGAGGACGCAGCCTGGCTGTGGCCAGCAGGGAGTCCTTCCTGCAGCGGCCGGGGGGAGGGCGGCGGCCTCCAGGGCTGCGAGGGGAGGCGAGAGTGCTGTCTGCAGGCCCCGGGACGGGACGGGGTGGGACGGGGCGGGACAGGGGCTGCGCAGGACGAGCCCGGTGCGGGGCTGGCCGGGGTCACAGAGGCCACAGCCTGTTGGGCAGGGTCTCAGCGTGTGGGGCGACGCAGGGGCAGGGGCCACTCTCCTCGCTCCGGGAGGGTCAGCCAGAGGCGGGGACGCCGAGTGAGGGTCCAGGACGCAGGCCCACCCGAGCCCCCACGGCGGCGCCCCCTCCACGCACCCTGGCGCGGCCCTGTCTCCCCAGAACGCACGTCCCCCGCCAGCACGGTCCCGGCCTCACCCTCCGCGGAGAGACACCGCACAGCGCGCTCTCTCGTGGGCCTGTGGGGACCACCACGCTCACCGTCCTTTGTGCGAAGGAGCGCTTCATGGGCGAACTCACGCTGGCGGCTGTGTCTGCTCGCCGGTGGCGGGGCCTGCGGGTCACTCCAGCTCTTGGGAGTCACGCAGGACACCCCGGGCATGTCCTTGGTGGTCACACTTCACGGCGCGGCCCTCGGGTTTCTCACGGTGGGACCGCGTGGTCTTTAGCGAGACATGGCCCCCGCCCCTGGCAGGGCTCTGCCTTCCCTCTGGGACGACGCACCGCGCGCCCTGCGCGAGCCGGCCCCGCTGCGGGCGAGCACTGCCATTACACGCCCCGTCTCGCAGGAGGAGGAGGGAGGAAACCGAGAGCCGGCCTGCGGGGCGGCGCAGAGCCGGATGCGCCGGCCGACCGAGGACCCCGTGCCTTTCCGCCACCGGGTGCAGCAGCAGGAGCCTCGCAGGGAGCCCCCGCAGGGAGCCATGGTCAGCTGTCCCCGTTCTCATCTTTGAGTGCAAATGCTCGAGGGGAGGGGCTTGCTCTGCCGCCGTGTATCTGTGTTTCCGGCCTCTGGGAGGGGGCCGGCCGGGCTGGGTGGGTGTCAGAAGGCACCGGGCGAACGAAGGGGCGAACGCGCGCACAAACGGGGTGCGGCCCACAACCCTTCTCAGGCGTCTGTGGGGGCGGTGCCCGTGCTTTGTGGCCACACGGTCCAACACTTCTCTTACTGCTGTTACTTCTTTTATTTTACAAAAATACCTTTAACCTTCCTCTAAGCAAAGTATGTCCTGTTTTGACGTTTACTTAAGGGCCCCTCGTATATTAAATGCCCATCAGAAGCCTCTGCTTACGGAGCGCCCGGAACGGGGCGCGCCCAGCGCTGCAGCCAAACCCGCACGCCGGACGCCGAGCGGGGCCCCAGCCGGCGCGTGGCGGGGCCCGCGGCGGCCGGGCTCCTGTGTGAGCAGCCGGGACGTCTCCAGGCGCCCTCCTCGGCCGGACCTGCCCCTTCCCGGTCAGGCGTGAGGCGGGGAGGGGGAGCCGTTCTCCAGCACTCGCGCTGCATGCAAACTGTGAATGAATAAAAGATGACCGGTCCAAGGCTGGTGGGAAGGTCGGGGAAGCGGCTAATTGGATTTCAGTGTGAAGAGCGAGCAGAGCAGCCAACGAGCAAGTGCTGATCAAAAGATTAACACGTTGTAGCTCTGCCGGAAGTCTTCGAGATGGGCTGTGTCTTAGAAAAACTGCTTCTGAGACGAAAGACGCGATCCTCTGCTTCAGGCATCTTTCTGACATTGTCCCTAAAATCTTAAAACAGGACGTCCCCTGGGGGTACGTTGTTTCTGGTATGAGTTGAAACAGCCCCACCCAGCCAGGTCTTCTTGCCCACAGCTTGGCTCACCCTCACCCAAGGCTCCCAGCCTGAGGGGCCCTGCGCCCGTGAGCGGCCGGTCCTTGAACCGCTGCTGTCCCGGGTGCGCCGGGGGCACCGAAGCACCCTTCTCTGGCGGTTCACCGTGACGCTGGTGGTCGCTTCTACCACCTTCTCCTTCTCGAGTCGCAGTTTCCTCTGGGGCTCTTTCGTCTTGATGATACCATTTCGTGGCCAAATTATCAGGCCGTTGCTTTACGTCCAGGCGCCAAGACGGAAGTGCACCCAATGATGAGTGTCCACGCTGCCCGACGCGTTGGCTGGGTCGCTCAGCCGGGACGCTCACTTCTCCCTAGCGAGCTGGCCCCACCCCCGAAGGCGCAGCGTTCCCCCAGCTGGAGCGAGGTGACGGTAGCCACTGCTCCCCCGGCGCGTCGGCCCGCCCTGAGGACAGGCGAGGCCGCCCCGAGTCACCTGCGTTCTGGAGTCGTTTAAGCGGCGGCTCTATTTCAACAGAGCTGGACGAGGATGAACACAGCCCGGCGGCGCAAACAGCCGTCCAGAGCAGCGACGGGCACCTGAGGCCCCGGCATCCCCTTCCTCGTGGGAGAAGCGCCGTAGGGACGGTCCCAGGACGGGAGACCGGGGCCCAGGCCGATCCGGTCGGCGCCAAGACCTGGGCGCTGGGCCTCTGACGTCCCCTCTGCCTCCCGAGCTCTGTGAAGCGGAGCCGCGTGAGGACGCTGTTCGGAGCACGTCAAGTACCGCACAAGCCATGGTCCTGGGGAGGGGATCTACCTACCTCCCCAGAGGGGTTTTTAAGGACTGACCTATGAATCTGAGGGGCCTGGCCAATCCGGACCCTGCAGGAGACGGCCGGGCCGCTGGCGCTGTAGCCTGAGCCCCGAGCCGACTGCGGCAGAGCCCCTCGTCCTCGGAAGAGGCCGTCTCTCTTCTATGAAGGCTGCCAGCTGACCGGGCGAGGCCCCGCCGCCTGCTGTACCCGAAGGCCACAGCTTCAGAAGTTGCTCTCATCTCGGAAAGTACCTACAGTCCCGTCTCACCGGAGAGCAAGCGCTGTGGCCTGGCCAAAGCGACACGTCAGTTCGCCCTCGCAGGAAGGCATCCGGTCCCCCCGTGGCTGGGATATCTGCTGCTGCGGAACCAACGTCCCCAAAGTCCGGCGGCTAAACCAAAAGCCCCGGTTTTGGTGACCGACCATGCGGGCCGCTGGAGCTCCCCCGGCGGCTGCGGCAGGCTGAGCGCTCGCAGCCGCGGTCCAGGAGTGAGCCCGCCCGGGCGGTCGCCTGTCAAGCCTCAGGCCACCTCCCTGTTGTCAGCGCCCCCGGTGAACCCGGCCCCGTGGCCGAGGCGGCATCGGCGTGGAGAGGCCTCCCGCTGCCCAGGCCCCACCCTGAGGGACCTCGACCGCCTGCACCTGACGCCACTGGCCAGGGGGACGGGGCAGGGTTGCTTCTGCCCCACGGCCAGTGCCGTTCCTCAGAACCGGGCGTCGCCAGGCACCCTACACCCCCACCGACGTCACACATCGCTGTGCGCTCAGCCATCTTCCCAGGGGATGACCCCCGCCTGTCAGCCTGGGCGCTGGCACCCCGCCCCCCTTCCCGACCGCCGGGGGGCCAGGGACCCCACAGGCGCAGGCCCCGCGTCCCGCCACCACCCCCAGCAGCTGGAAAGACACCGCCAGCGAACACGCGAGGCCAGGGGCGCCCCGGCCAGGCCCCTCCTCCGGGCCGTTTCGCGTCCGGCTCCGTGGACGCAGCAGCAGGACGAGCAGACGGGGGGCGGGGCCGGGGGCGCAGAGGCTCAGCGGGGACAGGGAGGGTCCACTCGCCTTGATCACGTCTTCGTCGGACGACCTGCACTCCACCGGCTGCGGCAGGGCCGCCACGGTGCCGTCCTCCTCCACGGAGACCACCTTCACCGGGACGGCCACCGGCCTCCCCGTGAGGACGGCCGTGTTCAGGATGTCCGCCTCCTGCGGGACCAAGCACAGTGACCGTCACGTCCCGCCCCAGCGTGGCCGTCTCCCCAGCCTCCCTGAGCTTCGCCTGCCCTCGCGCCGGCCCGGGGCACGGTGGCCGAGGGGCGACGCACGGGCTAGCTCGTCACTGCCGTCGCCCTGGACGAGCCTTGCGGACGGTGCCCTCCTCATGGGGGCCTGGGGAGGCCCCGCGGCTCCCGGGCCCACGTGTCAGGCTGCTGGACCAGCCTGAGCCCACACAGAGTGGTTCCGACTCAGCTGCCCGCCGCTGGCCAGAGGGGCGAGGCCGTGACAGGGGCCCAGGTGACCCCCCTGCGGGGTGCGTGAGGGGACGAACAGCCCGAGACCCCCCGGCTTTCTCCCACTTCTTGCACCTCCCCAGGCTGCCTTTGGGCCCCGGCCTCCGTCGTGGGACACCACCCCCACCCCGCCCCCGGTGCACCCGCACGTGCCTTCCGCCTGCCTCATGCGGCTCAGCCCCGGGCGGTGTCCTCTGGGACAGACCGAGAAAGGCACAGTCCCCACGGCGGCACCCAGGAGGGCGGCTGCTTTCCCTTCCAGATGACGAGCGCCCTGGGGCGGGCCTGGCCCTGCTCGCCAGGACCCACGGGGGCCAGCGACACCCGCCGATCAGCACGAGCGGGTGCGTGGATACGGGCCCCCAGCGAGGCGGCTGCAGCCCCCTGCGCCGGCCCTGGCCCTCCCCTCGCCGCCCCCCACCCCGGCCCTGCTGCTACTGCCACAGGAGGCCTGCGGTGCCCGAGCTGCGGGGGAGCCTGGGGGGCCCACGGGCCCATGTCTCAGATGGAGAAAACTCGGACGGGGTGGTGGGCCCTCGTTTGCACCCCGGTCAACAGAAGGGCTGCCCCGGGGCCGCAGGGACGCTCCGCCCATTAGCGGTGGCGCTGGACCGCTCCAAGTCGCCCGCGTGCTGCTTCTACCCGGCGGGGCTGCCGGCATCTGCGTGGCGAACACGTGCACAAGCCGCTCGGCTTTCCCAGGCACGGCAGCCCCGGGACTGACGGCCGTGGCTCGGTCGAACTGCTGCGTCCCAGCGGTCCTCCCGGGGGAGGTGGAACGACGCCGCGTCCTGCGGAGCCCGGGAGGCCGGCCTGGCTCTTGCCTCCCGCCAGCGCGACCATCCCCTGGAGGCTGCGGGACACAGCCAGGGACAGGGCTTTGCTCCTTACGTGGAAGCAAAACCTCGTCAAGGCTATACGGCCTCGCTCCTCAGATACGACATTTGTCAAAGGGCTCGCCATCAGCGCCGCGAGGGGTCGCTCCCCGCCCCACCCCTGCGTGTGGTCCCCTCGGGCGACGCTCTCAGCGTTTCTGTGTTCGGGGGCCCCCACTGTCTGAGTGACACTCTCTCTCACGGCAGGTTGAGATGTAATCTGCTGATTTCCCGGCGTAACAGGAAACCTTGCCTCGCTCCGTTCGCTTTTCTCTCTTCTCAGTTGATGTGGTTCTCGTCTGGGGTCTTATTTCGGCTGTATTTGTAACTGAGAGCGAACGTTTCTCTCACCGAGGGGTGACGTGCTGACCCCCGAGCGGCTCACCAGCGTGGCTCTGACCCTGACAGCCCCTCGGCAGGGCAGGGCCCCCGCCGCCCTCGCCCTCAGCGCGGGCTGGCCCCAGACGCACAGCCGACCACGCGCAGGCTGCCGCCGACACCTGGGCAGACACCCCTCCAGGAGCTCGGCGGACACACAGCTGGGACCCGGCCCCGAGCCGCCGGGTGTGCCAGTGAGGAGGCCTCGGGGGAGGCTCTGCCCCGAGTGGCAGTGGCCTGGCTGAGTGCCGTCGACACCTGGGACCGTGGCCGATCACAGTGCGAGGGACCGCTGTCTTGTGCTACTACAGGGAGATCGATGCCTGCACCCCCGCCCCGCACACGCATCACAAGATGAAAACCTCAGCTCTGCCTGAACTAGCCTCGGGCCTCGCTTCCACGCCGACCCCCCGCGTCGCTCAGGCGAGGGCGTCTCCGCCGCCCTGAAACGTGACGGGCCCCCCGGGCTCTGGGCTGGGCTCCGACCGGCGGGGTCACGGGGGCCGCTCGCTCAGCCGCCCCCCCCGCCGGGCCGCCCTGGCACTGGGCAGCCGGCAGCTCCTGCGCTCAACCTGCCACAGGCAGCAGCGCCTCCCTCTGGTTGCGGTGACCAGAAATGCCCCCAGCTTCTGCCGCGTGTCCCCTGGGGGCCCGAGGCGCTGGGCCACAGGCTCGTGCGTGCTGGGAGCCCGTCTCCGCCCCCGGGGACACTTCCGCACCCCGGCCGCCTCTCTTCTCCCGCCTCCCACAACTCACCGCTCCTGTCGCCTTGATGTTGTCAGGCTCTTCGCGGACCTCCCCTCTCTCCTGGGGTCTCCCCCCAGCCCCCCGCCCCCGGCTCCTGCTCACGTGTTTGTTCTCAAGGCGGCCAAGCGCGATGACGCAGGCGACATGTTAAAGCGGCGCTCAGCGTGATTCATTTCCAGTAAGGCTGGTTATTACTAGCAGTACAATACATGCAATGGCATACAAATTCAGTGTTCTTGGCAAAAGAGACCCGTAAGAGAAAGGGGGAGCACAAGGAGAGAAGGCGGGGGAGGGGGGAGGCGGACCTGCCACGCGCCCTGGGGCGCCCACCTCTGCCCCGGAGCAAGGGGGCGAAGCTGCTCCCGGGCCGGCTCCCGGGCTGAGCCGGTGCCGCCCCGGGGCTCGTGCTCGGGGCAAGGGGGCTGCGGTGGGCGCGGCGTCGGCGGGGGATGTGCCCCGTGCCCTGGTCTCGCCCCCTGGACTCACGCCGGAGCCTCGGTCCCGTGTGAGGCAGGCCCCACGGTCACGGGCCTGGTGCGCCGCCGGTGTGTCGTGAGGAACGGTCCAACGTCACGGGTTCCTGGCCACGTGCGCCCTGCCCACGCCAGGCTCAGTTCTGGAAGCATGCGCACTTCTGCCCGTCCCGCCCCTGCCGGGGGTGCGGGCAGCCCCACCCCGTCGCTCCTGTCCACGGGGCACCTCGTCCGGGCCAGGACGCCCGCCCCGGGAGGCGTGCCGGCGGCCGGCCTGGTGCAGCAGGGCTGCCCGCACACCTGGTCGGAGCGGGGCACTGGGCCCCGGTTGGCACCGTTCCTGGTGTTTGAGAGAAGCCGAGGATGAGCTTTTCAGGTGAAATCCCACGACCTGCACACGCAGCGCAGCTCAGCTCGCCTTCTGTGAACGCCGCGGGGGCGCCTGCGCAGGCCGCTGGCCCTCGGGCCCGGCAGGAAGCCGCCTCCGCCAGTGAGGCCCCTTTGGGAAAACGGGGCTTTGCAGCTCTGGCTCCGCAGTCCGCACCCCCCAGCGAGGCGTCTTCCCGGGACCCCAACCCACGTCTGCAGGTCACCCGGGCGCCCTGCCGCCGGGGCATGAGGTCACCCGAAGAATCTCCTGGTACCACAAAGCCGCTGTGGTTCTGCATAACCAATTTCCAATCTTGTTTAGCTTCAAGTTGCAGAATTAGGAAGTTAAGTGACAGCTGTTTAATTAACTCTTTAAGCTGATTAGACAGCATTACAGAAATTCCCTCAAGGAGGGATTTATAGCCGCAGGGAGAGCTGAGGGCTATGTTTATTTTTTAAATTTATTATTCATTGTCAATTTTTAAATGCAGTGAGCAGCTGAACTGGCTCACCAAGCATTCCCGACACCCTCAAGGATGCGGTCAAATACCGATTTTTATTTATTACGCTAACTGCTCCAGCAGGCTCGCCAACAACCGCACGAACGTCCGCAGATGTGCTGAGCTGCCATGCACTAAATGACGGAAAAACGTGCTGCAGCCCCATGCACACCAGGGGAGGGGTGCGGCTCACCCCGCGCTCCCACATAACAGCGGCACAGCCCCCTGACTCGTAGGACAGAAGCAGCTGCCTGCGGCCTTCAGCGCCACGGCACCACCCTTTCCCGGTGACCGCAGGAGGCGGCGTACCAAGTCGCCCAAGGCGGCGGAGCTGTCCCTCCGCTGGGGGGGGGGGCCTTGGGTTTTGACGGAACATGGAAACAAGACTTACTTCAGTCTGTGCAGAACGGGCACACCAACGAGTCAGCCTCAGAGGGCCACTCCCGGCTCCACATCAGCAAGCAGAGCGGGGGGCCTAGGAGGGGGACAGCCGGGGCTGCAGCCCCCACCCCTAGAGGGACTCGGGAGGTGCCGCCGAGTCCCGTCCTGGCCCGGGAGCCACAGGGATCTCGGCCGGCAGGCGGGCCTGGGGCCGGGTCTGGCCGTCGATGCCGGGGAGCAGCCCGCGCTGCGGACGCGGGACAGCAGCACGTCCGGAAGCCGCCTGCGGGCCGGCCCGGGCTGCGCGCCGAGCGCTTCCTCCCGCAGACGGCCTTGCAAGCCGCTGTCCTCGGGCTGCTGCAGGGGGAGTCTGCGTGCCCCGAGTTCCCACCGCGAGGAAGAGCAGCGGCGCAATTAAGGATCTTCTGGGAGGAAGGGAGAATCCACCTGGGGCTCTAAACCAGCCACAGACCCCTGCGACGACACAGGCCTCTCCACCGCCGCGGGGCGGCGGGGCGGCGGGGCGGCGGGGTGCAGGCCGCGCCACGGAATGGATGGGCGGGTGCACGCCACCTCAACTTTCGGGGAAAAAACGGTTCTTTTCTTTGAGTTAGTCCTGTTTTCCATACTCAAACCCCCAACGGGTAGTTCCTTCTGCAAAATTATGCCCTGCTACAGTGGCTCTGAAAGCTCTTCCATCTCGTCCCGGCGCGTATTTTGACGGAGGCAGGAGTGGGCCCGTGAAACATGCCTCCCGGTGGGTGGAAGGAACTCGGAAGCCAACCTGGTGATAAATGTCAGCGTAACGTGGGAGAACAGGCTGAGATCAGAAACTGACACTATTAAATGTTGTTTGCCTGATTAAGTCTCTACGTTTCCAAGGGACAGTGGATGCAGATAAAAACAGTAAAGTAGATGTTTTAAAAACCAAATCTTGGCCCACTGCTGCAGCGGGTGTTGCAAAAACAGAGA